AAGTGCCCTCTTACTAAGTTGAATGATATCTGGGTCTTTATGTTGTTCAGAGAGTAAACGTTCTCGGCTGAGGATGTCCTTGCCTTTGCTAACTAGTGGATGCAACTCATCATCCTCACCACCAAATTTTGGTAACAGTTCTTTCTTCTCTTGCTTCTTGATATTGTGTGGTTCCATGTTTGTTTGAGTGCCATTAAGGTCAGATAAGAAAGTGTCATTCAAATCAATATCAACAGAGGAATTCGTCTCGTCAAAGGCTTGAGTATGGTCTGCCTCCATTTCTCGTCTTCTGGCCATCGCTCTAGTAACAGCACAGGCTGGATAAATGTCATCATCTTCATCATTATACATGACATCTGGAGTGATCTTCTCACAAACTATAGGATCTGGTACAACTTTTCCACCAGCTAGATCGTTGCCTAACAACAAAGAAATGCCTGGAACGGGAAGAGTAGGTCGAACACCTACGATAACAGGTCCAGTAACTAAATCTGACTTCAAACTAATTCTATGCAGGGGAACATCAATGACGCCTAGCTCCACACCCTGTAATAAAACTGACCCACCAGTAGAAGTCTGCTCAGACAAAGGAAGCACGCCCTCTAACAATAACGTCTGTGCAGCACCAGTATCTCTCAAAATCTGGACAGGTTTTATTTCGCTAGAGTCACCGAGTGAAACAAATCCCTGAGACATAAAGGGCTTATAATCCTCCATAGAATCAATAGAACTGGACTGTGAACCCTGGACATCAGGAGTGTCAGAACAAATCGAAACTAAGGCTTCTCTATCACCTCTAACTGCCGCACAAGCATGTGGTTGAGTTTTATCAAAATCATTTTTTCTCTTAAGTTTAAAGCATTCACTGATCAGATGACCCTTTTTCTTACAATAACTACAAGTAGGAAGCGACCCTATTCCAGACGATCCTTCAACACGTCCTGAACCGGACTTAAAACCACCTTGGGATGGAGACTGGGAACTTGTGAAAGACTGAGACCCTGAACCACTCTTTTTATATGTGTCTGAATTGGTAGAATTACTGCTAGTCTGAGATCTTGAAACAAAATTCTTTTTATGAGACAGAGCATAAGTATCAGATATGACTGCTGCCTCTTCAAGAGTTTTCACATTCTTATCTTCTAAATGTGTTTTCAAATCTTGAGGAACACATTCCTTAAACTCTTCTACCAGGATGACTTGGCGCAAATTAGCAAAAGTTTTATCAAGTTTTCAACTACCCCTAGTGCAGAGTATACCTCAGCTGCTTTTCCAATCAGTACACTTTGTAACATTGTTGACCAAACATTTCGTGGCCATTTAAGATTCTCTGCTACCTTTTCGAATTGTGGAAAATATTTGTCTACAGATTTTTCTTGAAATTTTGGAACTAATCTGATATTTTTTGCTGCATCAAATTCAGTTTTGACAACTGACGGTTCTGGTTGGTTCTGTAATTTTAATTTCTCTAATTCAAAGTTCATTTCACGCTCTCTTTCTCGCTCTTGTCTTTCTAATTTGTCTAATTCAAATTTTCGTTCACTCTCTCGTTCTTCTCTTTTCTCTTTTCTAATTTTTCTCTTTCAAATCGCATTTTCTCTAACTCTAATTGAAACTGATATTCTGCCATTTTATAAGAGCCTAACTCTGATTTAACTGTATATTCTGGAAGATCGTATTTTTCAAAGATGTTTTCTTCTACTAGTTTGTTTGCAACCTTAATTCTAATGTCTTGCTTTTTCTGAGAGGATTTAACATCTAACCCAAAATGCAAACCTAATGCGATTAAGTCATCCTTTTTTAACGTATCAAAAACCTGAACACTTGGTGAACTAAGAAAGTCTGTGACCGAAAACACCATGTTGATTTCTGCTGGCTTATAATCAAATTTAACAATTTAATTAACAAAATTCTGACAATGAACTGCAAAAGTGCAAGAAATTCTATATCCCGGACGAGCCCCCAATTCTGTTATGGGTCAGAATTACCCGAAATGCCAGCAAAGATCAATAACACAATTTAAACTTAACAATAATTTATTTACAGTAATATATAATAAATATATCAAACATAAAGTACAAACTTAGCAAGAATCTAAAAATACATACATCAGAGTGTCCGTTTCTGCACACAATGTCCCAGTGAAAATATATATCCCATTTATATCTCAATGAGTGCTTATACGACAAAGTATTGTATATACATCGAATTGACAGGGTATTTATATAGTATCATAAATCTAGAATATTCTAGAAATTATTAAAACATGATATTACTGGAACAATCTGGACATACTCAAAATTTAAGAATGTTCTAGATCAAATGACCGAACATGTCGACCACTCTGGAATGTTCAAGAAACTTAATGTTACTAATTATATACATAATGAAACAATACACATCTCACTCTTTCCTCAAGTAATTTTGTGAATACTAAATCCGTCAGTTGACTTACTGGTAGCATGTTTTGTGCTTACTAAAACACCTTGCTCGAACACGTTAAATGGTCAACCATCGATTTAAAATACTCTTTACTTACATGGATTGGTTCAGAAGTTTAAAACCTTTGTAAATAATGTACTTGTACCATACAGAAAAATAGGAAGATAGAAAACAGTAATCTCGTATTTTTAAATGCAAGTCACTGCTATTCATCAAGTTTACTTTTAGATCCATCCTTAAGATGTTAACTCCTCCTCTCATAGATACATAATGTTCAATCAAGAGCAGGTAAATGTAAATTATCTGTATTTGGAAAACCGAAAGGACAACAATATGAATTTCATTATTGTCTATTGTCATTATAGTCTTAAATTAATTTTAACATTTAAATTGGATGTCAAATTGACATACGCCTGTAGTAAATGTACAAAAGTGAAATTAGGTTAAGATTTAAAAGCAACAGTAGCAACCGAAAAAGACCCAAAACACATCGCGAAGAGCAGTCTTTCTTTCTCGAAAACTGCTCACGGGTGCATAGGGGTAGAGCATTTGCTTTCTAATTGGGAGGCCCGGGTTCTATTCTCGTTCGAGGAGGCGCGTCAAACAAAAGAGTAAACATAGGGATTGACTGTTCCTTCGCCAAGCGCTCGGCACTAGAAGTGAAAGTCACAGGTCTTTCAGATATGACCTTAAAATCGTAGGTCCCGTGACCGTCACTGCTCAATGACCCTGAGTGCCGAGTATAGGTCTAAATTTGAAACCTCTCACCGGCACACGTTGACGTCTCTGTATGAGTGAAAAATTCTCGAATGGGACGTTAAACAATATACAATCAATTAATCTGTCAAGAAAACTCAAAATGCAATTTTCCTTATATTGGAAATTCAAGATATTTCAAAGGTATTTTATACCCCTGGTATGAAACACAATCACCTAGTATCTTGCACAAATGCCTGGTAAAATACCTTAATCTTTTGATAGTTTACATGTTTACGATCACAGACTGAAGAAGAGATAAACATTCATATATATTATACTTTCTTTAAATAAGTTGAAACTGATTGGTCAAACATTTGCTAGAAAACACTATTACCCACTGAATAATGAAGCTACGCCCTCCAGCGTAGCAACAGTCAATAGTGCTTGACGACGGGTGATATTCCAAAAAAATAGCGACTTCGCAGAATTTATGCGCGCACGGTTCACTGTTATATGTATTTGTATAAAACATTCAGTATAATATAATAAATATTGCAAGTGGTTGAGTGTAATTAAATTGCAGACAGTAGTAGTGGTTTTCTTACCATGAGGTCTTAAATGATTTTCGTAGCAGGTCCTGTTCTTAAACATTCCTTGGCATTCCCGACATTTAATCTCGATCCCTTCATCGGGACAATTAGGGTGTTGTCCTAAACAAAAGGTACAGCGATGAGGGCACTTGGACCGATGGTCTGTGACATTCCTGTACCCCACGTCGCAATGATCACAGTAATAGGGGTTCCCCGTCACTCCCGGCATCGATATGATGGCATCGCAATGACGGTTGTCTAACAATATGTTCAAACAAGTTCCATCTCCCCAGCCTTTGAAGATGCGCTCTAAACAGAGTTTAGTGGAAGTAGATTTGAATTGAAATATTTTCAGTCGATACTGAGGAGCTAATACCTGTTGTAATTTCGTCCACTCTGTATATCCACAAGCTTGAGTGATATCACATCCGGCCTGTTCCATGAGGGCTATGGCTTGGTTCTTCTGATCCAAGGATTGTCTATCTCCTAATCTCATAGGGAGCCAACGTTTTTCCCATTCCGGGTCTGGATGTTCGGGTTTCTGACTGTGTAATCGAGTGACGACGATGGCTCTAGCCAAACAAAATTTATCATGGGGATTGACGATCCGAACGATGGATCGTTTATTGTTCTTGAAAGTTTCTTTATCCACTTGTAAATGTTTGTTTCTGTTTCCACCACTCCCCTGGGGATTCTCGATATGAAGCAGATCGAATTCCGTGGAGCCGTCGCTCAGTTTGAACTCCTTTTTGGATTGTTGCACGTCTTGTATTTTTTTTTAAATGACGTCTTCGTTTAAATCTTTACATTGCATGAACTCGTACGAAATGTCTGATTCCAGAGAATGGTGATGAAGGTTCAGACGGAGGTAATCGTTAGGATTACACTGCATTTTCGATTTGAAGTCTTGTAACATGTTTGTGAATAATCGCCGAAGGAAAGCTGTGTTTTCTTCTTCTTCTGGAAATTCATCGAAATGAACGATATATCTATTTTCATGCGCTTTAAATTTTGGAGAGGTCCTTTTTTGAGCTAGTCTCATATGATAATACTCAGAAATGGGTTTAGGTGGTAAATCTATTTCTCTCTCGGTACTTTTTCGTTTCAATATTCGTTTAGCCTGTACCTGTTTTTCTCTAGTAGAATCCATGTCTATCAGCTGATGGCTCTGAAGGTAAAATGAACCCAGAGTGAAAGAAAAACCGTATTTATACAGTGGATGACGTCATAATGCACAGGTAAGTTTTTGCACACGGCACTTTATAGGTGATGGAAACAGGTATATAAGAAAACGCAGGTAAAAGGTATATTTCTTTTGCACACGACCCTCAGTTTTTGCACACGGCACTTTATAGGTGATGGAAACAGGTATATATAAGAAAACGCAGGTAAAAAAAGTATTTTTGCACACGGCACTTTATAGATGATGGAAACAGGTATATAAGAAAACGCAGGTAAAACGTATATTTCTTTTGCACACGGCCCCTAAAATAAAATCCATGCTATATAAACCAGAGCTGGATATGAAGGATCATTCTGTGTGAGTACTTGGAAGTGAACACAGGTAAAAAAAAAGTTTCAGTGATCAAGTCGGAGGTATGGAAACAAGGTATCGCTGGTTTATTGAGGATTATACTGACAAGAGTGGATCTTGGATGAAAACTAAACTGGGAGTGGCCATGGATTACTTTTAAAATCATCCAGGACAATTCATGAAGGATTTCAGGAAAGAATCATTGGCTAACCAGGGATTTCTTGTAAAAATCTTTCCAGAAAAAATAGTGTGGCTGGAAAAAAGAGTGAAAATCCCATGCCGCCTAACAGGATCTAGAGTGAGGGTGAAAACAAAGCATCATTATCAGCAATACAATTGGGAGATCCAAAATGATCTTGGAACTCTGGATAAAGGTCTCTGGTACATGAATTTAGAAGAGTGCATTGAAGATTTAATGAGGACCAAGAAAGAAGAAGAAAATTATACACAGTATCTATTTTGTCGCATCCCCTTTACCCAGATTAAAGAAATGATGGAACAGTAAGGACATGGGGGTGTTAAACTGAGTGATTGAGGATAGATCATCATCATCATCATCAGAAGAGATGTAAAAAATTGAATAAAATCTGTGTTCTTTGTTTTGTCTTTTGTTAGTGTTTTGAGGAAATCCAGTTCAAACCGGTTATAGGGCTGTCTAGACTGTGAAGCGTGACGTCATAATCACATTCTTTTTTTGAGTCGCTGCCAAGTATTTACCTGTGTCCATAAACAAAACGTAGTACCAACGTACCAATGTAAAAAACACAATGTAAACAACCCCGTATTTAAGGGAATATGTTAGGGTTAAAAAGGGGTTAGGGCTAAGGGGGATAGGGTTAGTTAGGGCTGGGGGGGTTAGGGTTAGGGTTAGTTAGGGGTAGGGGGTTAGGGTTAGTTAGGGGTAGGGGGTTAGGGTTAGTTAGGGCTAGGGGGTGAGGGTTAGTTAGGGTTAGGGGGTTAGGGTTAGGGTTAGTTAGGGCTAGGGGGTTAGGGTTAGGGGTTTAGGGTTAATTAGGGTTAAGGGGCTAGGGTTAGGGTTAGGGGGCTAGGGTTAGAGGGGTTAGGGTTAGGACTGCACTCAGTTGACCCACCTATCCCCTCAACCAATCAAAACTGATCACGTGATTTCTCTCAGCCAATCAGAATGCAGTATCTATCGGGACCCCTTATACTACTTATATTTGATACATCTACTGGTGTTAATTAAATGAAACATATGGAGAAAACGAACAGTATTCAAGATAAAAAGTCCAAAAAAAACAATACAAAATAGGAGCAGAGCAAACGCGGACTTCAGAAACATTAGATTTGGGATCAGTTGCCATGGAGGAGTGAGCATCCCAAAATATACGTTTTGATCTGATCTCTTACAGAAAGATATAAGCGTCAGTCCTCTGTGTATGATCGTATAGCACAAACCACGGGTGGCGATGTTCAAAGGTTTTCATCGTCGTCAGAGTTGGCTTCAAAAGTTGAAGAAGATTTACTGGTAATTCTTTTACAGTTTCAACATGTGAATATTTTTTTCCGAATTAGACAAACATTCGTTTGTATAATAATATGAAAGTACACAATTTCTTGTTTTATGTTTAGAACGATTTGAATATTATCCAAAGTAACTCCACCGAAACCTTGAACACGGTAAGTATTTGTATATAGAAAGTGTAAAAAAATATTTAAACATTCAGTTCAAGGTAAATTTGCTTACTAGTACATGTTTTACATAATTAGATTTGAGGGACTCTTATTTCTTCTCATAACTGTACAACTCTGAATAGAAATTTTAAAAATTGAGTTTGAAATCTAGCAGAAACAATATTTTTGTTGGAACTTCAGCGCATGAAAGTTGAAGTTACATGGATTTCAAAATCATCGTTTAAAGTCGGCATTTTAAGGCCTTGTCAGCATATGTTACATATCATTGGGTCGTACTATGGCTGACTTGTATGGATCCAATTGTTATTGCTTTTGTTTATGTATATATGTATACATGTATATTGAATTAACTGCGGAAAGTTCCATCTACCTAATCAAACAAAATTCACAACTTTTTAAATTCTTGTCCTATTCAATGGACTCGTGAATCAATCATAATTTAATGTTTTAAATTTTGCTTATCGCGCACGTATGTGGTTTGATTTTTGAAAATTTCTCAATATTTAAAACTAATTAAATGAGTAAATAGTACAGGTTAAAAATATTCTACATAGTAAGACACTTACATGTAAAATATTTGGTTTCTCTGCATGACAAATTATCTGCAAACAAACAGGGTAACCTACCATCATCTACATCTATAATCAAATGGGGAACCATCGACCAAGATGACAATGGCAATTTCACAATAGAAGTTGATAATTCAGTATATTCTCTGTATATTGAAATTAATGGAACAACAAATTCAAGTGATATACAACTGAGCAATCCAAACAGTAAGTAAAAAATCCCTAATGTTTAAAAGTGAAAATATCTTATTAAAACAGTTTATTACTATGCTAATTTACTACGTCAGATACTTCAAAAAACAGAATTTTAAATGATATATTTCAACAGGTACATTGGTTTTACTTGGATCTATCGACAAAAATGTACAACAAACAGGGTTACTGATATCAATTCAGGTATGAATCTCGTTAAATTTAAATAAACCGTATTCCCCTCTAAATTAATAATGATCTAAAATTCTAATTTTAACGACTGCTTTGATTCCGATTAAAGTTTTAATTGATGCAAAGACAAAGTATATAATGTCAATTTATACTTTCAGTCCCCAGAAAAGGGAAATTGGAATCTGAAGAAAGTTAGTAATAATCAGTGGAATGTGACTATCACATCTAATAGCTCGTTTGATATTACATCATCTTTACTTGAGATGTCAATGGAAGGCATCCCTTTCCCAGTGAAGGGAAACCCTTTATCGGGTATAAATTCGTCATGTATTGATTGTTTAATGTAATTTCCGAAATGAACTTAAATAATAAAGAATTGAGTTTTAATCTGAAGCAAAATCATATCTTCTAGGCAAGGAGTATTTAGTTGTTACATCACTACAAAATCCCCCTACAAACTATACTGTGACCTCCCTTACGTTAGTGGACGAAGCAGGAAGGACCATCCGAGAAATGAATGCCAGTCTTCTCAGCTCCTCACCAAGCCTCCAGTATTATGCCAAAACCAAGATTGTCCAACAGGTTCTATTGTATTTCTATCATTGTTGAGTTGATTATAAATATCTACTAGATAGTTATTTACAAGGTTTCACATAAATCCTTAACATTTAGGTATCAGGAATTCAGTTACATGGTACAGATTCTATTGGTCATCCTTTCGTTCGCTCCGTTAGACATGTCATCACTTCTGTAGACGTATCCCTCACAATGCGCCCTTTTGTCGGTAAGTACTTTTTATCTTTTATTTAGAAATTTTGCTTAGAGTTGATCAAAATTAAAAGAGGATAGCGCCGATCACAGTTGATTCCATGTAAGGCATTTGGCAGATGTAACCATTTGCACGCATGACGCAGCCAACAGGCCAATCTGTTAACAATCCACCGACACATAATATGCATATGTGAATCCATTATTAAATGTTAAACGGATACTGCTTATTGTATTTATTATGAGATTCAAACATTTTTATACTCCTACAAATGAACTTTGCGTGGTGGGGGTGGGGGTGGGGGGTATATAGGAATCTACTTGTTCTGTCTGTTCGTATGTATGTGCAAACGCGCCCGGTCCACATCTTTCTTATGAAGGGCATTAGAATCAAAGATGCCTAAGGTTGTGTCATGACCTTGACCCAAGGTCATTTGGGCAAGTCACTGAAAGAAAAATTTCTTACTTGACTGGTCCATACTTTTCTTACGTATTAACATAACTTGGTGAGTTTCAATTTTGCACAAAGATTTTGCTTATGAACTGAGAATATGTCATGACCTTAACCCAAGGTTATTTGTGCAAGTTCATTATCACAGAGAAAGTTTTAAAATTCATATTTCGTCCATATCTTCCTTAAGCAGAAAACATGAATCCACTTCATACAAAGATTGCTTATGAACTGAGTGTGTTTCATGACCTTGACAAGAGTCATATATGCAAGTTCAAAGTCTCTAAAAAGTCCATAGTCTGTGTCTGCTCCATATCCTTTTTTATGGAGGAAATTGGTGGGTTCCTATTTTATACAAAGATAGCTTATGACCCGAGGATGTGTCACGACTTTGACCAAAGATCATTTGTTCAAGTTCAAGGTGATTAAAAGAGAAACTTATAAATCGTGTCCCTATCATTAGTATTGATGTTTTATTAGGCTACTCATAGTTTCATTTTTAAAAGATATATAAAGATCAATAATTAGTTTTTTCATTCTAAAAGTTTAAAAAAGATTGTGATGACCAATACCGGTATAAGTGACTTGACATCTTCTCCTACCGGAAAGGGGGGGGGGGCATTTGTCCCTTTTAGACAGTTCTTGTTCTATGAGCGCAGCCACGTAGCATCGTTTTTAAAAGGGGGGGGGGGGGGGGGGGGGGGGGGGCAGCCAGGGAATTTTTTTTGACTTGCCTGAAAAAGTTGACAAGGGATAACCAATTTTTTCGCATTCAATACTACATTTCCCTGATATTTTCCTGTACTATAAAGTGAGGGGGCCAATTAACGTTTCAATGAACAATGTACATAGAATTGTTGGGAAAAAAGTGCCCCCACCCCTGTTGCTACGTGCCTGTTTTGTGGAAAGGAAGTACACCCTTTTTCTACGAGTTTATTCACTCTCATTTCTGTTTCGAGTGAGTCAATTCTTACATAAGCTTTGCCAGTAGGCCTGAATATTACAAACACTCCTTGATCAGCTCCTTGTCTTTTCTCTTATTAGCTCTACTGGTCAGAGACCAGAAGAGCTTATGCGATAGTAATGCGTCCGTCGTCCGTCCGTCTGTCTGTCTGTCCGTCTGTCTGTCTGTAAACAATCTTTCAAAATGCTACTCTTCCTACAGTTTTGGTCTGATTTCAATATAACTTGGCACACAAGTAGACTACACTAAGATACATAATTCTGTATATCGGTTTTTGATTTCGATTAACGGTGTTGCCGTTGTTGCTAAAAATAGAAATTTCTGTGAATTTCAAAATGCTACTCCTCCTACAGTTTTGGTCTGATTTCAATATAACTTGGCACACAAGTAGACTACACTAAGATACATAATTCTGTGCATCGGTTTTTGATTTCGATGAACGGTGTTGCCGTTGTTGCTAAAAATAGAAATTTCTGTGAAATTCTTTCAAAATGCTACTCCTCGTACAGTTTTGGTATGATTTCAATATAACTTGGCACACAAGTAGACTACACTAAGATACATAATTCTGTGTATCGGTTTTTGATTTCGATGAACGGTGTTGCCGTTGTTGCTAAAAATAGAAATTTCTGTGAAATTCTTTCAAAATGCTACTCCTCCTACAGTTTTGGTCTGATTTCAATATAACTTGGCACACAAGTAGACTACACTAAGATACATAATTCTGTGTATCGGTTTTTGATTTCGATGAACGGTGTTGCCGTTGTTGCTAAAAATAGAAATTTCTGTGAAATTCTTTCAAAATGCTACTCCTCGTACAGTTTTGGTCTGATTTCAATATAACTTGGCACACAAGTAGACTACACTAAGATACATAATTCTGTTTATCGGTTTTTGATTTCGATGAACGGTGTTGCCGTGGTTACTAAAAATAGAAATTTCTATGAAATTCTTTCAAAATGCTACTCCTCCTACAGTTTTGGTCTGATTTAAATATAACTTGGCATACAAGTAGACTACACTAAGATACATAATTCTGTATATCAGTTTTTGATTTCGATGAACGGTTTTGCCGTTGTTACTAAAAATAGAAATTTCTGTGAAATTCTTTCAAAATGCTACTCCTCCTACAGTTTTGGTCTGATTTCAATATAACTTGGCACACAAGTAGACTTCACTAAGATACATAATTCTGTGTATCGGTTTTTGATTTCGATGAACGGTGTTGCCATGGTTACTAAAAATAGAAATTTCTGTGAAATTATTTCAAAATACTACTCCTTCTACATTTTTGGTCTGATTTCAATATAACTTAGCACACAAGTAGACTACACTAAGATACATAATTCTGTGTATCGGTTTTTGATTTCGATGAACGGTGTTGCCGTGGTTACTAAAAATAGAAATTTCTATGAAATTCTTTCAAAATGCTATTCCTCCTACAGTTTTGGTCTGATTTCAATATAACTTGGCATACAAGTAGACTACACTAAGATACATGATTCTGTATATCAGTTTTTGATTTCGATGAACGGTGTTGCCGTTGTTACTAAAAATAGAAATTTCTGTGAAATTCTTTCAAAATGCTATTCCTCCTACAGTTTTGGTCTGATTTCAATATAACTTGGCACACAAGTAGACTTCACTAAGATACATAATTCTGTATATCGGTTTTTGATTTCGATGAACGGTGTTGCCATGGTAACTAAAAATAGAAATTTCTGTTAAAAACTCTCAAAATGCTACTCCTCCTGCAGATTAAGTCTGATTATAATATAATGTGGCATGCAAATAGACTATACTAAGAACATAAAGAGACTTAATCAAGGATCATTATTCTTTTTATTGCTGTGGTAAAGTTTCAATTCCCAACTGCTTAAGAACTTTTCTCTTCCTTTGCTATAAGTACAAACCAGTAGAGCTTCAGTCTCGACAGAGACTTCTGGTTTTACAAAGTCTGAAAAAGAGTGAAACAATTTATTTATACAACTAGCACTAATGTCTATTCTCTATTTCTGACTTATTGATACTATTATGCTAAATTTTTAGGAGATCTGTCGCTTTCAAAATTGGAAAAAATTCCATACACAATCACCAACCATGGTGCAGCCAACAAGACTATTGTTGTGACAGTGTCTGATGACCGGGGTTTTATTGTTGGAAATAGATCCTTAACATTGGTTATTCAGCCAGGAGAAATTACAGAGGAATCGTTTAATATAAGAGGAACAATCCCTTCGACTATTGTGTAATGTATCTCTTTTTAATCGATTTATTTCTTTTATTTACCATAATATCTCATCACAACTAAAAGGGGAGAGAGCAATAACAATAGAAAGAGATGACTAAAATCTTCCCTTTTGAATAGTACTTTACAGATATCGGTGCAGGACAAGGAAACGTCAGCAGAGCTCCAATCTGTTACCAAGAAAATGATGGTAGATATATGTATAAACACCATTCTGCTTTTCAAATACTAGTAGTATATATTATATCAATGCTTACCAGAACAAAAATGGGGAAATCGGTATTGGAACTGAAACTTTAATCATAACATTTTAAGGTATCATCTGCCACACGTCCATCGTGTTTTGTGACTTTAAATGAAGATACATGCAGAAATCAACCTTTTAACGACAGTAGTTGTGGCGATGTTGTGTGGCAAGGGAAAGCTGAATTTAATTTTTCCGGAACAGGTTTAAGTTCTATGTCTGTGTCCAGTTCTTCTTTTAATTTGACACACAGTTCACTCCTAGTTTTTTCTGGTCCTGTGGATGCTTCACTAAGGTATACTTTTAATTTTTTTAAATATTTAAAACAAGTCATTTTATAAGATTTAAATCACCTCAAAAACAAAACGCGAGTAAAATAATTCTTGCACGATATTAATGTCATGTTTATCTTCACAACCAGCTTTGGGGATTGCTAGGTATTTCTTTTTACCCCCTTCTCCCTCTCTCCTGTAGGTTATAGATAGACCTACAAAAATTAGAGGTACTGTGAACTGAACTCACTAAATGATATCCCCTATTACTATAATAAGTCCATGTTTTGATCTGAAAAATAAATGTCACGTCTAGAGGTAAAAAAGGGGGTCACAATGGAATTATGTAATAAAGAATCCGTAAAATGTTCATTAAACTCTATTTACTGTTATAGGAGGAGTGGTTTATAAGAAATGGATACCCTTCAATATCATAGAAAGAATGGAAGTGTCCAAAGTTTTGTTATGGGAAACCCAAAATAATTGCTGGATCAACAAGCAAATTCAAAGAATTGTGGTCCCTCGCTTTCGGTGTCTTTGTGGGTGAAATGTCATTTTTATGGAGTATTGTGTCAAATATGAACGTCCTTTTTATATGTCATTCTAAAGTTATCACCGAAGTTGATTTTTTAGCTCACCTGAGCCGAAGGCTCAAGTGAGCTTTTCTGATCAAAATGTGTCCGTTGTCTGTCGTCGTCGTCGTAAACTTTTCACATTTTCATCTTCTTCTCAAGAACCACTGGGCCAATTTCAATCGAACTTGCCACAAAGTATCCTTGGGTAAAGGGGATTCAAGTTTGTTCCAATGAAGGACTAGGCCTTCTTCTAAGGGGGGATAATTATGAATTACTGATAAATTTATGGTATCTTTTAAAAATCTTCTCAAAACCCTGTGGGCCAGGAAAGATGAAACTCAGGTAGAAGCAACCTCTGGTAGTATAGATTCAAGTTTGTTCAAATCATGACCCGGTAGGGTGGATCCATAATGGGGTATGAAAGTTTAACATAGGAATACGTAGGAAAAATCTTTAAAAATCTTTTTCTCAAAGACAGAAAAGCCGTCATTGGTCATAGTTATATGGAAGCATACTCCCAAAGTGTAGATTCAAGTTTGTTCAAATCATGACCCTCTGGGTTAGTGGGGCACAAAGTTAAAATAGGAATACATGGGAAAAATCTTTAAAAATCTTCTCAAGAACAGCAAAGCCATGATTGGTCATAGTTACATGTATATGGAAGCATCCTCTGGTAGAGAAGATTCAAGTTTGTTCAATCATGACCCCTGAAGCAAGGGTGGGGCCATCATGGGTGATCAAAATAGGATTACATAGAAAAAAATCTTTAAAATTCTTCTTCTTGAGAACAGCAAAGTTGTCATTGGTCATAGTTTTATGGAAGCATCCTCAAGTACAGCTCAACGCACTTTTTAAGCTCACATGGTTTTTCGCACTGATTAAGGTCACATTGCCATAATAAAATGTTGAGTAGAGAGACAACAAAATGCATTTTAAAGGTACTTGTTTACATTATTTGAGTTTTATTTCATTTACATTAACATAATTTACACAAATAAGTTAATAAAACTTTGATATATTCATGGTTGAAAAATAGCAACTATTCCCATTTGATTTTTTGTTCTTCCTTGCCAATTGTAGCTGTCGTTTTCTCCGTTCTTTTGAAAGCAGTATCTCTTTTCAGAAACGTAGACACGGGCACAACACAGCTTGTATAACTTGTATTTTCTGTATATTCTGACTCTTTAGCGCGGGATGATAATAGTATTTTTCATCTGTTTGACTGATTTGTGTGCTAAAAAGGTGGCATTTTTCAGAGTTACCCTCTAAAATCTAGAATCGTGAAAGATTAATCCCAATGCAAAATTTTAACGGGTCAAACCGTAAATGCAATAGAATTTTCCTTTTCATAGAAAGAATATACTATTTTAAAAAAATTAACAATACTTCAATATCCTACCCTTAAGTGTGGTTTCTTTCTGCAATGTTATCATTTTTCGGCGCTGCATTTCGACAAAACCAGGAGGAGTATGGTAAATAACAAAGAATTTTGAAAAATACTCACCTTTAAGAAGAAAATCAAAAATTTTCAACTACATAATATCAATAAAAGCTTGTTTTATTTAATTTGTAAAAACCTATGGTGGAATCCTATAGTAGAAACATCGTACCATTTATTGATTAATTCCCTTTTAATACATCCACTTCAGAAACTTAAGATAATGATTCTAAAGGACTTATGTCCTTGACATTATATATGTAATATTACGTAGGGCTGTTTCATCGTACTGAAGTTAGAAAATGGTAATTTTTATAACAAAAATGTGACCTTAATTTGTGAGAAAAACCATGTGAGCTTAAAAAGTGCGTTAAGCTGTAGTGTAGATTCAAGTTTGTTCAAATCATGACCCCCAAGGGTAGAGTGGGGCCAAAATTTGGTATCCGAGTTTTACATAGAAATACAATGGAATAAACAACAAAGCCATTATGTGTCGTATTAATTCAAAAGCATTCTTAGGAAGTGTAGATTTAAGCCCCCCCTTCCTTCCTCGAGCCCACTTTTATATTATATTTAAACTTTTTAATACTGAACTGATTTTTCTTTTACCTAGCTAGTTGCTCAGGTAAGCGTTGTGACCCTTGGGCCTCTTGTTTTACAAAAAGTCAATTGTGAAGATTCAGGTAAAGGGGTCAGAAATCATAGCATGCTCGGAGATATCTTGTCACAGAAAATGCATGTGTCAAATATGAAAACCCATCTCTTCTCAATCAAAAGTTAAAAGGATAAATTAACATGTTTTAAAAATTTGGTCAAAGTTCAAGGACAAGGTCACTAGATCAAAAAACCAGTGTATTTAGAAAGCAAATAAGAAAGTCCTGTGTCTTTTCATTCACAAGTCATAAGCAAGTTTCAAGTTTTTGAAAAGTGGGTCCAACTTCAAGGTCACGAGGTAAAAAAAATCAAATTTTAGAAAGGTCTTGCCACGGCTAAAATACAGATTTAGTATGAAAGCCCCTTATCCCTTCTCATTCAAAAGTTATGGCCAATTTTAAGTCTTTCATTTTTTGTAAAGTAAGTCAGTCACGAGGTCAAAAATCATAGTGTATTTATAAGGTCTTGTCACAGGCAAAACACAGGTCTAATATAAAAGCCTTATCTCCTCTCATTCAAAAGTTATGACCAAGGTTCAATGTTTTGAAAAGTGGGTCAAATTCAAGGTCAAGAGGTAAAAAAATCATAGTGTAGTTATAAAGGCCTCGTCACAGGTAATATACATAATTAATATGAAATATAATTTAGAAACCCTTTCTGTTCTCTTTCAAAAGCTTTGGCCAATTCAAAGTAATGTTTATTTTTTTTTTAAGTAGGTCAAACTTTCAGTCAAGGTCACAGGGTCAAAAATCATAATTATTTAGAAAGGACTTGTCACAGCTTATATACATATGTAATATGAAAGCCCCATCTCTTCTCATTCAAAAGATATGACCAAGGTTTAAGTTTTTATGACGGACGAATGAGATTCAATGTCCCCTCGCTTTCGCGAAAGCGGAGGACAAAAGTAAAACAGAGGGTGCACAATGGTTCTATTTAACAAAGATAATTAAATTTCATTCATTGGTATATGAGGAATTGCGGATAAGAGATGGGTACCCAAAAGCGTAATAGACGGATGGACATCCAAATCACTATACATGTACCCTTCACTTTCCAAGAGTAATCTACAGACATTATGAAACACCCAGTATAATTTAATTAAATAAAATTAAAATCCTGCACTTGGCACCTTAAAACAATTTTTGCAAAGATAGATATATTTTGTGCCGGCATCTTCTGTTACAGGTCTAGAACGAGGCGAGACCATTTCCATTTCATTCACTGTTCCACATTGTCGACATTAAATGTCTTAATTTCTTAACAGTCGTCCTATGTTGTGATACACCAAGAATCTCTACTTACATGAGTAAATTAAAAAAAAAATTTCAGAGGAGATTGCTGTACCCCATCAGTTGTTCTCAGTGCTATTGATGGTGAGGGCTTCATCTCTCAATGTAGATTTACCTTGTATTCAGAGGTCTCATCTGACAACATCGTAATGGATTCCATAAATCCCATTATGCAGGAGGTTTGTATGCTAGTCACGAATGTTATCCTTGTACCAAATAATTGGAACGCATATTCGAGAAACCTTTATTGAATAGGGTCCATTACAGTGTAAATTATAAGTATACTGCTTAGTTCAAATTGCCAGAGACCAAAATAGTGGTAAAATGTTGTGTGCCTTATCTCTTTTTCGGCAACAACTACAACATTCATTTCCATATACTAACAACCAAAAATGCTATAGAATTGAATATTTCATATATGCTTAAGGAAAGGTTCATGTGATTTTTACTTAACTGTTTACTGAACTTGTATAAAGATTAATTTGTTGCAGAGTTCTTTACCGAGTTCCCAGGATTTGGCCATCATTGGTGGAGCAGTTGGGGGTGCAATAGCTGGAATAGTCATCGTCTCTGTGTCTGTATTTCTGAAACTTAAGCACATATTTAATTCAAAGACATACAAGGTCGATGACATCAGTCATTCATTTGTTACTCGATCCGAAAAAATAAAAAATACACACTTTAAAAACTTAGAAAAATCGTCATATCCAAATACTGCCAGAGAAGTAGAAATTGGTTACTGAATCTACAAAAAACGTCCTATCAAAGTTCTGCCAGAGAAGTAGAAATTAGTTTCTGAATCTACAATTTTCTCAGTGACTGATGTCATTTTCTCCGTATCCCTTTACTTTCCTTGTTTGTAAATTAGAACCGAAGTTATATCAGAATTTTTGACGTTACCTCATTTTTGTTTCTCATGCATTTATTTCTCAAGATCGCTCGCAAGATATTTTTATATAGTTTAATTCTGGTTGTAACGCTGTATTTGATTGGATAAAAAATTTACTTTCTATCGTATAAAATGGGTTGCCTACGTCACAATGACTTGCGTCAAAAACGTATCAATCCGCCTGATGTTACATTGAAATTTTGTACAAATTAAAGTCATTTTGTTAGAACAGTCATCTTTTTTTCTAACATCAAATGAATGAAAATTAAACTATAAGTAATGAATTTAATAGCTACCCATTTTATACGGTATAAACTGGGTTGGAACAGCTTTTTTATAAACAGCGTCGCGGTTTATAAAGCGTAAACTGCCCCAACCCAGTTTATACCGTATAAAATGGGTAGCTATTAAATTCATTCCTTAATTATTTGTCTTAAACATAATCTTGTTTAAACAAAAATTAAATGTTAGTGTATCTTGACTCGCAATAAAAATCATTTAATTTTATTCGTATGTTTTTAGATAATTATATTTTTTAGCTCGTCTAGCTGAGCTAGAAGCTCAAGTGAGCTTTAAAATATCACACAAGCTGAAAGCCCAAGTAAGCTTTCTGATCTCATTTAGCCTGTCTGTCTGTAAACTTTTCTTTATATTAACTTCTGCAAAAGAACTACTGGACCAAATTTTACTTGCCACAAAGCATCCTTGTGTAAAATGAATTTAAGGCTGTTCCAATGAAAAGCCCAGTTCTCTTTAAAGGGAAGAAAATATAAGAATTGGTGAAATTTGACACCCTTTTTAGAAACTTTCTTCTAAAAACCCAAAGACCAGAAAAGTGGAAACTTATTGTTAAATCTTTATTACATAGTGTTCAAATCATGACCCGTGGGGGCAATAGGAACATTTACTTCATCGCACACGGCTTAAAAATTTGGCATAAGTTCCTGACAAGAATGGGCATCCCTTCCAGCAAATAGAAATTCATCAAGTTAGTTGATACTTTAGGATGCTGTATAGAAAGAAGCCCACTGCAAAAAAGTAGATTGATTGTACGAGGGGTGATCAAAAAGTTCGCGAACTGTCTCTATATCTACAAACCACGATTCAGATTAGAAAAAAAATTTGGTACACACATAGATAAATACTTTATTCAGCATATGCTATTTATAGAACTAGTATAAGGCTCCTTGTTTGTGACGTCACAATGTGAAAATGACGTCACTATGTAGGTCACTTGTGACAAAAAGTTTACTATGAGTTAGTAATTTAGGCCTATGATAACGAAGTTTAAGCCCTTGCGAGAATCCATTAATTAATCTATTTGCTACAATTTTGTTTGGATAATGGACGAGATAGTTTCAAAGGGCATGAATATTAATGGCGTTGAGCCAAGACGCCATAGACTGGGGGCTGTGGATTCTTGGTCTTGAGTAGGTTTGGTGCAGGATACTGTTGTTGGAACAGATTACCCCTTGTAGTTGACATTTGCACATGTGGTCTGTGGACGAGAACTTGACTGCCAATACAACTGACCGTATGGTCAAAACATTTATACTAGAAGCTGTGCAAAATTAAAAGAGCTTTCATTTGATATAATGAAATGGGACTTGTCCCTCAAGTTCAGGGCTTAGAGGGACTAAAAAATTCTTAACGATCAATAATTTGTTGAAAATTACTGACTTAAATGTTTATCTTAATGATTGGGAACTACATATCGGTATCAGTTTTCATTGCTAAGTATACATGGACGTCGACGTCGTCATCAAATCATCATTCGTTAAAAATTTTACAATGTTCTTGTTTTATTCAATTGAATCAATATAATTGAGCCTCGTCGGATAGAAATCGACCTTATCGTTTGCAACGTCATGAGAAAAAAGCGAATAAAGTTGAGAAAGATTTCCCGGTATTTTTCAGGCACGTAGCATCGTTTTTGAAAGTGGGGGGGCCAACCTGAGAAAATTTTTTTTACTTACCTAAAAAAAGTTGACAAGCAAAAAAAAAAAAAAAAAAAAAAAAAAAAAAAAATTAATAAATTTCCCAAACTCAAAAATCCTATTTCGTGGGGGGGGGGGAGGGGGGGGGGTAGTGGCCAACTTTTTTCAAGAAAAAATTACTTTCACTTCCAATTTTTTCCTATATTTTCTTTCAATGTATATACTGTTGTAGAGAGTGGGGGGGCCAACCACCTTTACAATAGACATTTTCTATAGTAAAGGTAATGTTGGGAGAAAAAGTGGGGGGTCCAGGCCCCCCCTGATACTACGTGCCTGTTTTTACTACACATGCTTTTCACGTTAAGGAATGTTTTAGACATCGTTAACTTCAGTTCAAAGATTTTTTCTTTAAAAACAAAAAACGGATCATTTTATTTTAAATATGTACTAATAAAATAAACAAATTTTAAATGCATTCCCCTTCGTAGAGCCTTATTTTTTTTATTGTTACCATGGATCAATGTAAACATAAGCCAGAGGAATGCCGAGTCCGATCTACACTTATTTTTTTTTTCAAACAGCAGAAGATGTAAGGCCATTTCTAACAACAGATAAATAATAAGTTGGTAGACATATAACGAAGAAAAAATGGCATGGTGCATTACTGAGGAAGTGCAGAATATATTTTTTATTGTAGTTAAGAGTATAAATTTTAGCCAGAGGAGACGTAATCTGGCACAGAAAATCGCATGCAGTAATAGCCTAGTGTGTCAACTTCATTTACTATCAGCGTGTGCACATGTATTCGATCATTCACGATTAAATTCGCAATATTATATTAGATATACTTTAGTGTTTCATGTCTTTGAATGAATTTACGTGTATTTTCGAATTTATCACAGAAATTAACCAACCAACCAACCAACCAAAACAAAACAAACAGCTAGGCATATCGAGTCAGTACAAAATGTACAAAGGCCACGATTCAACATCTTTTAAAACGCATTTTTCTAACTACAATATTAAGAGATATCAAGAAACAAGTAATACTGGTATTTTTTAAGGCAATTTCTTCATATATCAGTAATTCTCAAACGGAAATACGTATTGTCCGAAGCGACTGGATACGATACTAGTAAATTGTGCAAGTTGCTTCCCTTTGACGCAAAAAGAGGCTCAACACAGGGAATCATTTCCTTAAAAAAGAGATGTTTTTTCTCTCTATCTTAACATTTGTCTCTCTTCCATTACCAGATTTTAAGTTAATTTTCTTAAATATTTCACTCCTTATTTTGCAAGTTTATAAAAATACGGACGATGGATTATCTATGATTTTTTTTTTTTTTTTTTAACTTGGCTAGCGAAAATATAAGATGGACCCTGTTTGTAAAACATATCCCTCTACGTCATTAATATTTTAAATACTTGTAAACCAAAAAAATTGCTCTAAAGTCGGATGTAAAAAAAACAATAGTTTTGTGAAAGGTATTCTTAATATTCAGCATAATGTTTAGTATTTTGAACCCCGTTAATACCATTACTTTTCTCCGAAAAAAAATCATGTTGAGCAGGATTTCACCTGTTCGTGAATAACAGGAATATGGTTTCGTTTTGTACTAAGACTTTCATTTATAACATCAAAACGTTCTCTACATTATGAAATTCTTCTACAATTCTCCTTTTTTTAAGAGAGGGTGGATACCCAACACAGATAACTTAATTACAAATCTCAATTTTTTTATTTTATTTTTTTTTTATTTACAAAATCATAAAACAAATAAATATGAAATGTCTTTAATTTTATAAGTGTTGTGTTGGACTGGGTCGGAAAGGGATATCAGAATGTTGTCGATGCGTACGCCGCGTGCCTTCATACATATTATTTTTTTCAAAAGGCTAGTTAATGTTTTGTTTGTTTTTTTGTTTTTTTTGCCGGGGGGAGGGGGTCTTTAAGTCGGCATACATGTATATAAAGCTACCTCGCTTGCTAAATATGATATAATTTATTTTAGAATACTACGCACCCAGCTGAATCCGACTATCCAATTCATAGCTGCATTATTTATTCTTTTTTTTAAAATTGGTTTCAGGGCATTTCCTAATAAAATATTTCTTAAGACATTCTCAAAACAGTCTGTTAATTGAATTGAAAAAGAAAGAAAATGTTCTGGCACATGGTTTTATATCGTAATTAAACATATCTTTTATTTTTATTTTTCTGTCCCTCGATGCATGCATTTCTAATACTCCAGGTAACAAAGAAATTATAATTTTTGCATTTCTGAAATTCATATTGATATCCCTTCATTTTTTTCTGTTGATAAAGATATTTTGTTATTACGTTATGTAAATCTCTTTTTCAAATGCATTAGAATGTTGCGTAACAAATTAACTATCATCGTCGGAAATCCACGAGTGATCTCGTCTTTACTTATCACCCGGTGATGAGTAAAGATGAGATCATCCTTGGCTATCCGATGATAATAAACTATATGCTATAAAGAACAAAAGAAATTAAAAATCATTTTCCAAAAATAATGCATGCATACTTATTGAGTCGAGAATTTCAGTCAATGGGTATACGATTATGTTTCCCGCGACTTTCCGCTACATGTAACTATAAATCTTATTCTTCTAAATTAAGGTGGGGTCTCTCACATACGAAGTTAATTAAAAATGTACGAACGATGGATGATTATTATTTTATTTTACAATGAAGTTTAGAATATTTACATCAAATTGAGTTTTAAAGTAAAATTTTGTACATTATGAGATATTTTGTTGATAAACACAGAGAGAAATTAACATATTTTTGAAATTATAGTCCGTAGGATGGATTGTTAATTAGTTCCCTATATTAAGGTTATCAACTACATGTATTTTGCATGCAACAGATGAGAATTTCCCGCCGATAATTGCTGAAATCTTGCAGAATCGGCGCTAAGTAAAATCAATCAATCATTAATTTGTACATGTATATTTACCTATTTATTTTTCTACATTATGGATAATATACATTTGATGAAAAGACGATTGGGTTTTTACTAGGAGGGGGCAGGGGGGGGGGGGGGGGGTAATAATGTAAAGACATAGTGGCTAATTTTTTATCGAGCTATCCGTCGTCCAATTACAACCAAGCGAGAATGTTGTGGTGGAAAAGAGGGTGTATATAATATGAACTAGCTATCTGAAGGTGAATGTGGCTGCAGTAGAAACGGTTTTTGGGGAAAAATCCTAATAAAATGCACTTGCTTTTAGACACAGGGCTAGTATCACACCATGTTTGATTTCACGTAACAACGATGTATATACAGATGGATGTGTTTTTTAAAATTTAACTTAAGAATAATTATTGTAGCATGATTGAAGTTGTGATTTTATTG